CCCAGCAAAAGCATTTCAGGTCTGAAACCTTGTTCTTTTGCTACAGCAGGGACAGCTGACGGGGACTAGTGGCGTTATGGTAGGGTGAGGGGTGGGGTGGGGGTGGGGGTGGGCCTAATCTGCGTGGCAGGACTGGACGCCTGCAACTTTGTGGACATTCGCTACAACCGACTGGTCTGCAGCTCCGGATCCACTGTGGCTGGGGGGACTCGGCAAACATTTTCTTTCCCGCCCTCTCTTGCAGGGTGAAGATTCACTGCCAGAAAAGGCCCTGCTGCTTTTTCGGAACGTTCTTGGTGTCTACACATTCCAGAAGATCTCCTCTCTGCCACGCCTCCCCCTAAACCCAGGCCACCCCTTGACCGCAGGATGCTTAGAAGGATGCACTGCCCCTAAGAAAGCCAGTTGCTCCCAGGTACCTCCAGCTACCTCCGCGAGCAAACGCCTCCCCCTAAGCGCGATTAGGCCTTGTCTCCGGGATTTCCCTCCCCACCCTCCCACACACACTAAAAGGCCCCCAAAGCACTGAGGGCCGGCTTCTCTTTATAAAGCCAGGAGAAGGCGGGCGATAACGATCAGGCGTTTAAATTGGCCATTTGGAAGATTACATCTCTTCAGCCAGGGTCTTTCTTTCAAAACTCGCACTGAATTAAGGGCCGCGGCTACTCCGCACCCGGCTCTCAAAGGCTGGGCACCTTTTAATTCGGCCGTGGAGTGGGCCGGGCTAGGTGGCTGGGCACCATCAAAGGCCCGAGGGAAGGCCGTGGGGCGACACTCGTCTAATGACAAGTAATTGACGGATTCGAGGCCGCGCATTACCAGCGGAACGGGGAGGCATTAATTATTTAAAAACGATTAGCCATGCCCTGTGTCCTGCAGCCGTTCCATCTTGTTCAGGGAAGATAACCAGCCACGCGAGGCGAAGCCGGGGCTCGGAGGGCGGCGGGCGCGCTCCCCAGCAGGCTTCGGGTGCAGTGCACAAGGGCGCACAGCCCGGGGTGCCGGGGAAGGAATTGAGGGGACATCCAGGGTCTCTTCACACGGAGGTGACCACATACCGCTGACCCTGCCGATCCCCGAAACCGATTTCCGCCCACTTGGGTTCGAGGTCTGGTGACTGCGGCGCAGATAGGAAGAGCTTTCCAGTTGGGTGGCGGGCGATTTCCGTGCGCCAGCTATCTAGCGCGTCCCATCGCCTGGCAAAAGACCCGGAATAACCGAGGAGGGCTAGGGCCTCTCACAACACCTGATACCCAGGCGTTTAAAGCAAAGACCCTGGGGAAAATGTGGATCTTGGCTTCGGGGGCGGGGGGCGCGAAGAAGAGAATCTGGTAGACCCCTGGAGAAAGACACATTTTTTGTACCCTGTCCTCAAAAGCTAAGGGGTCCTGCGGTTTCAACCGGCAACCGCGGAACTACTAGTTTTCGGAGGTCAGCGCCTCCCCGCAGGCCACTGAAAGACTCGGCTGGTTTTAGTAGGTCCTCTGAACTCGCGTCTTTGGCCACCGCAGAGCGCAAGCCCAGCACACCCCAGGGCGCGCTCCTGCCCAGGGCCAGCCGTGGATGGGGCTCCGGAGGAAAACAATCGACTGTGTTGCCGAAAGAATGGGAGTGATAAATGGCCCAGCAGCGGGTGTCTGACTTTCTCTTCTGGACCCAGCTCATAACCCCGGAGTCTCCCCAACCTGCCCGCTGCGGTGCGCACCTGTGCGTAAAGACCACCAGCTGCTTCCTGCAAGCCAGAGCTAAGGGTCAAGCGCTTCTTGGAAAGGCGCTGCCCCTCCCTGCTCCCGCTTTGTGCCGACCCCTGCCGCCTCGGCCCGACTGCATCCAGGAAAGGGTCGAGACTGCTCGCACCGGAGCGCGCTCTGCGGAGGGCGTCACCAAGCTCGGGCCTCGGCCTTTCCAGACTCCCCTGCACCATGCACACGGTTTCTTGCTGACCCCCACCCTAGACTCTGAGGCCAAGGGCGTTCCCCACCCCACCCCAGAACCTTCCACTGCCCTTGGATCTCGAATCGAATCCCCAGCCCAACCCGGAGCGGTTGCAGGGGCCGGTCGTGGCTTCCTCGGGGCCCCACCAAACTCCTAACTGTGCTCAGACCCAGTATGAGTTTGTAACGCTACCATCCTTCATCCTTCCACTACGTGCACGCTTCTAATAACCCGCAAAAAAGACCAAACCCTTGGCGGGTCTTCACCCGCTGGGCTGAGCTTCTCACGCCCCCCACCCCCCACGCCCGCGCAGGCGTCGGATCCGCTGCAAGGGAGAAGGGCTGGCGGGGGGAGGGGAGACGTGCGGACGGGAGTCGGGGGCGGACGCCGCGGAGGGGAGCCGGGCCGGCCCGAGTGGGCGCGCTCCCTACCTGCGGCGGCTGGCGGGCGGCCGGCGGAGCGTCCAGCGCGAGCAGGGAGGCGGCCGACTGCTCCGAGCCGAGGCATCCCCGCATTTATTTGAGCTCAAACCGAGCGACTGTTGACTTTAGCACACAAAGCAAAGATTTCACTGCCCGCTAGTTTAAAAATGAATATTTTACCAAGATATCGATCAGCGTTATAAAATTCAGTTAAGTACAATGGGATCCTGGCAAAAAAAAAAAAAAAAAGAATAATAAAGGAGGGGGGAGGCAATATAATATCTGTGCAAATTTGCTGAAGTGTGACGTGGCATGGAAAGTTTACCCTCCTGGAATTCGGATCTAGAATGTTTTTTTCGGTTGTTTACTGACTTTGTTTATTCACAGATCACGGTTGCTTAAACCGGAGCGCGGAAGGCGCGGGGAAAAGGAAAAAAGCTGGGGGGGGGCAGGAGAGAGAGAGACACGCTGCACCCCCACAATACGTGGAGTTGGGGAAAGCGGGCGGCGGGCGATCTGTGAGCTCCCAAGCTTGGAACCCAGGCTGGGGGAGGGGGCTGATCGGGAGGGGGGGGTGTGTGAAAGACACAAGAAGCACAGAAAAGCCTCCGAAAGCGCTTGCTCCCCGACATCCTTTTTATGTATTCGGACAGAACTATATCTTATCGGCTGGGATCAGTGGAGGGGGGCGCGCTAAGTAGTTTAAAACGACCCTGGCACAATGGGCGTGCGTTACGAAACATAGCAGGTTAGGGCAGCGCTTTCAGCCTCTATTGTCCCCCACTCGGCCCCCGGCCCTGCCTCTCGGCTCCTTCGCCACGGGAGCCTTTTATGTGATAATGAAACACATTTCAGGCCGGGCTCACGACGTGTGTGTCCTTGCCAGGGGGGAGAGACGGCCTGATTGCTGGCTGTGGCCTCCGGATCCCCCCCACCCCCGCCCCCCCTCCAAATTTCTCTTCCTTGTGTTCTTCAGGACAATGTGGCATGTTGAAAAGGGATTTGAAGGCGGAGGGTGGGGGGGCCACGGGGGCAAGGCGCAACCCCCCCTCAAACTCGTGGGAAGGCCAGGGTTTGGGGGGAGCAGAGACCGGCCAAGGTGGCGGAGGACACATAGAGAGGCAGTCTCCAGGGCTAGGGCGCAGCTGGGGCACTCCAGCTTTGGTTAGTCAAGAAGCCCAAAGACCTAGTTTCCGAAACAGGGGCCTGGGCTTAGAAACCTGAGGCAAAAAGTCCTGGCCTTGAGGCCTGCGGAATTTTACCCACCACAAGCTAGCTGCGCACAGGAGTGGCCCCAAGTTGGCCGGCCTGCGAGGACACTGGCTCCTACCCTGGCCAGCTTGCAGGCCAGCAGATGTCCCAGACAGAGCCAACACCGGGCTCCTCTTTGCGCACTGGGGCTGGACTTCCACTGCAGCTGGCTGCCCCTTTAGGGCTGCGAGGTCGTCTGTGGGGAGAGGCAGCACGATTTGTGAGAATTTATTTTGGGGCTTTCTTTATACTTTTGGAGTGCCCTTGCAGGCTCATAAAATACCCACTCATCCTCTGGGCCTGGCAAACCTGAGTTGCCAACCTGACCTCATGGGCTTACTGGAGGCTTTGCAAACACACTGGAGTTTGGGGATGTGTGTGTGTGGGGGGGGCAGAAGAAAAAAGGAGCAAATCTGCAGACAGTGGGATCTTGCCACTGTCACTGTCAATTGGCAAGCTGTGCCAGACACACCTTACCTCCTCATCCCCAAATATACCTTATTTTTACAAAGGAAATTTGGATTGCCACCCTGAGCTACCCATTTAAAACTAATTCCAGTAGAACGACTTCTAAATAGTTCCCCAGACCAGGTGCCTCACCACTCCAGCAAGGTCTGCTGCGGTAGTGCGGAACACCTTCTTCAGGAAGGAGGGTGGGAAGGGGTGTGAACTACACACAGAGGCTCCACAGGAGGGTAAGAGAGGCAGAGATAAAAACACAAAGTGCTGCACCAGGAATTTGCAAATCCAACCTAGGCTCACTGACCTGAAGGGAGGCCTAAGACCAGAAGCACAGCCAAAATATGTAAAACCCAGGCTTCTCCCCAGAGAAACCAGCCTTGGGGCCCAAGAGACCTCAACACCAGGGCACCTTCAAACAGATCAGGTAGAAAATTAAGATATTCGGAGAGTGGTTTTCTCCTGCTGATGCGGTTCACCTAGGATCTGTGTGTTTCATTGTGTGTAAATTTAACTTCAAAATTCAAAAAGTAACCATAAACAATATCGATTGAGTTCTGTTTAATGATGTGCTTGCTGAAGCATTTAGGGGGAAGTGTACCAGTGTGTCTTCAAAATTACTTTGAAGTGCGTTAAAGAAATCAGATGGATTGACCAATGGAGAGGTGGATAGATGAAAAAATATGTGATAAAGCAAGAATAGTGAAATGTTAACTGTAGAATCTTGGCAGCAGGTCCACATATGCCTACCATAAAATTCATTCAATTTTTGTATATCTGAAAATTTTAATTAAAAAAAATATTAGGAAAACAACAACACCTTTTCCCCTAAAATATAATAAGACCAGCCACCAGCCAGGGTGTCCTTCTCTCCTTCTTGAAATAATTTCCAGACCTGTTTCTTTTTTAAATGAGGCAAAGGAAAAAAAAATCTTGAAGAAAAGATTCAAGGGATAAAACCGGCAATAATACTTTAATATAGATTTGTGGACCTCTGGCTCCTGCAGCCAGAATACACATTTATAAGCCATAAATAAAGCACACAGAAACCATAAATTAATCAGACCCGAGACCTGGATTTCACCGTGTCAAGATTGGGAATGCATTTTTTTTCTTTTTCTTGGTCATTTATAACAGACCCTTACATTATTATTATTTTTTCTCTTTTTAAACAATAGTACAACCCTCTGGTTCTGTTAAAACTACATGGTTTTACACCGAGTCACTCACAAAAGTTTTTTTTTTTTAAGACTTCCCTGCAACAACAGCAATGGAGGAGAACAACAACAAAAAACTCAGAATCTGCAGGTGCTTAAAGAAGCAGGAGTCTACACAGTAGTGGAAATTGGAGGCTTTTTTTTTTTACTTTATATTTTTCCCATTTTCCTCCTTATATAGAATGATAGGTGTCAGTATGGCCCTCTGTCTGGGAGAAAAGGGCTGCAGAGGTCGAGGGGAGACTGCTGTCTTGGGGCTGGGGATGGCATGGATTTTTCTCCCTCGCATCTCTCCAACACCCATTGTCCAAAGTCTCGACCCCACTTCCTCTCTCTTGTCCTTGTCCCGGGCTGCCAGAGCTAGCCGGCCCTGAAGCCGTCTTCTTAAGAGGAGTTCATAATGGGCCGAGAGTACACCCCCTGGTAGTAGGAGGTGTCTGCGGCCAGGGGCGAGGCGTCCAGGCCCGTTTTGTTCGTGACCGGGCCCATGGCCAAGCTGCCGGGCATGGGGGAACCGTAGCCGGGGTAGTGCATCACCTGTTCGTAGGCCTTGAGGTCCATTTTGTGGGGCTGGTGGTGGTGGTGGCTGTGGTGGTGCTGCTGCTCCGAGGACATGAGGTTGTTGATGGAGAAGGGGTGGTTGAAGGCGTAGTGGTGCTCCGGCTTGAGGTGGGCTTCGGGCGGCAGGCCCGGGTGGTGCGGCGGGCCCAGCAGGTGGGCCGCGGCCTGTTGCTGCTGCCCGGGCGAGGGCGCGGGCTCCGGGGGGCTCAGCGCCGTGGCCGGCGTCCCCTTCAGCTCTCCCAGGCCCCCTCGCTTGTGCTCCTGGCACGGGGAGGCGCTCGAGTGAGGCGATTCGGTGCCCGCCGGAGTCTCGGAGGCCGGCCCGGCCTCCCCGAGTTGAGCCTGCGAGGCCTGGGACCCCGAGGCCGACTTCTTGCCACCGCCCGCGGCGCCCGCGGCCTCCTTCAGCGCCAGCTGCTTCTCGCACTTGAAGCGCTTCTGGCGGCGCAGGTAGCAGCCATTCTCGAACATGTTGCCCGAGTCGGGGTGCAGGGTCCAGAAAGAGCCCTTGCCGGGCTTGTCGGGCGAGCGGGGCACCTTGAGGAAGCAGTCGTTGAAGGAGAGCGAGTGGCGGATGGAGTTCTGCCAGCGCTGCTGGTTCTGCCGGTAGAAGGGGAAGAGGTCCATGATCCACTGGTAGATCTCGCTCAGCGTCAGCATCTTGTTGGGGCTCTGCTGGATGGCCATGGTGATGAGCGAGATGTACGAGTAGGGCGGCTTGGCGTGCGTGTAGCTGCGCCGGTACGTCTTGGGGTCGCGCGCGCGGCTCAGGCCCGCCTGCCCGTACATGGGGCTCATGGAGTTCATGTTGGCGTAGGGGGCCAGGCCGCCCATGGCCCCGGCCGCTTGTCCCCCGAGCGGGCTCAGACTGGGACTCAGGTGTGGTCCCATGCCCGCTACTCCAGCCGCCCCGGCCGAGCCGCCCATGCCCGCCATGGCGCCCGCGCCGGGGGACATGCCCGCCAGAGACGGGCTCATGCCTGCGCCCACGTACGAAGACATGTTCATGGAGCCCGCGCTCATGTTGCCCGAGCCGCTGCCCATGGCCGCTGCCGACATGCTCATGTACGTGTTCATCCCGTTCATTCCCAGGCCGGCATTCATGTTGCTCACCGAGGAGTAGCTCTGCGGACAAGCCCGGGGAGGGAGGCGACAGCGTTAGCACCGTGGCTCTAGCACCCCCAGACCTCCCACCCACTGGGCCAACCCAGGCCCTTGGCTGGGGAGGCCTCCGGGGAACCCTTTCCCTCTCTGGGAGCCCGTCCTGGGACACCGAATCTGTATCCAGAGCGAGCCATGATCGCCCTTGGGGAAGTGGCGAGTGACTGTTGCTCTGGGCATGTGGCCTGTTCCTAGCCTTTCTGCAACCTCTCTCAGGTTCTAGAACATGTATCCCCTCGAGCCCCCTCAAGCCGGCACCCCAAATGCATCCCCCAGAGTGTCTCCAATTCTCAGCATACTGAGCTGGCTGGCGCGGAGGCTGGGAACCTCCGGATGCCACCACCCGCCCCGGCAAGCAACCTGCGGGACACCGCGCGGGACGCCCCGGACAGTCTCAAGTGGAGACTGTGTCAGGGTCTCTCGGGTCCAGCCTTTCCGCTGGACCCCCTGCCTGGCCCCAGGGGAACTGAAAGGCAGTGCCTGCGCAGAGTTCGGGGACAGTCGGAGGCACTGAATGGGGGAATAGGGAAAGAACGCGAACTGAACTACACGCGGCTGGGCTTTGCAGCCACAAACTTTCTTTCTCTTTGTCCACTAGTCTTTGACTCTGCCTCCACCTCAACCCCCAACTCCTTCCTACCCACCTTCTCCTCAGCTCCCCACCCCCTCGCCGGCCGACCTCCCACCCCTCCCCAGCCGCGCGCTGCCAAACATAACTCTGTTAGGATAGTGCGTGGCTCGGCCACGAAGAGGATTTGGAGGCGCCGCAAGTCAATATTTGATCACAAAGTTAATATTATCTCAAGGCTAACAGTGTGTCGTATAAAAAAGAGACCCATTTGAGTCGAAGGAGGGCGAAATAGGAGCTGCCCAGAAAGGCTGGGGGTGGGGGGCGGGTGCCAGCCAGGGAAGCGGCCCGGAGGTTGGGGAAGGAGCGGACGCCACCGCCACACCACTTCCCCCCGGAAAAGGCGAGCGCTTACCTCGGGCTCGGCATAGTAGCTGCTCCAGTCGGACGGCTCGTGCCCTTCCATCTTCACCGCTCCCAGCATACTGGAAGCCGAGTGCATGGCAGTTTAAAATTTAACAGCCACAACAAACGACCAGCAATCACCCCCACCCCCACCCTCTTTTAAAAAAAAGTCAGCCAAGGCACCGTCCCCTCCCTCTCTCCCTCTCTTGCGCTCCCTCTCCCAGGGCTCCACTCCCTCTCTCTCTCCCTCGGCCGGCCGGAGGCGGTAGTTGGAAGTGGGCGGGAGGGGTGGGTCGCGGGAGGAGGGGGCCAAGGAGCGGAGGAGGCCGGGCCCGGAGCCCCGCCGGAGGGAGCGCCCGCCGCCGCCGCGCTCCGGGTGGAGGCTGAGGTTGGCAGTGCTGAGCTGCCCCGAGGCGGCGGGAAGCGCGCGGCGCGGGGGTGGGGGGAGAGGAGGAGGAGGAGGAGGAGGAGGTGTGGACCGCGGAGCGGACAAGTGCCGCAGTGACGTGGGCGGCTGGTGATATAGCGCGGCGCGCTGGCGCGGGCCTCCAATCCCCAGACCCCGGGCAGCCCATTTGAATAATCAGCTCACACCTAGGTGAGAGGAGCCTCGGCCGGCGCCCCGCACCTGCCCCTCGGTGCCCGCCCCGCTGCCGCCCAGCCCCGCACTCCCGGGCGGGATCCGGGAGCGGACCCGGTGGTCTAGAGGGCGCGCGGGCGCCCCGGTGGAGCCCCCTTTCCTCCCGGGTCCTCGGGAGTCCCCTCCCGGGTCCACGGGAGTCCCCTGTGGAAAGAGGGACCTGGGAGGAGGCCACCCTCGGGAGCACGGGCTCTGGCCCCCGCCCGGTGCCATAGCGCTGGGTGCCGGGTGAGGCTGTCGGAGGGCGCGTCCGGCCTCCGTGCCCCGCAGAGCCTTATTAAAGCCGGATTTATCTATCCCGGGTTTCTCCGCTCTCAGTGCTCATTCCCTGTCAAAACAACAAGCCAGTGACAGAGCCAATTTGCAAAGCGCCGTCGTATTTAGTCGTATTTAGAAAAACTGTGTACACACCTTTAACTCGCCCGCCGCCGCCGCTGCTCCTGGGGGGCCCCTCCCGGTTAGAGTTAAGACCCGGCGCGGCCCGAGAAGGCGCGGGGCGCACGCTCCGCCCGCCCGGGCGTTCGGCCTCCTCGGAGCCCAGCCGCCCGCCACGCACAGGGGCGGCCGGGCGCCCGGCGCACGCAGCGCCGCTGGCTGCCGCCGACGGTTGGAGGCTGCGATTCGACTCTGACATTCAGGCCGGAGTGTTTCAAGGTTACTTTTCACTCACAACCGAGGTGCCCAAAGCATTTCGTAACTAAAACAAACAGGGCGGGGGTTGGCGGGGAGGAAAAAAGAAATCAATAACGGGGCATGTGGAATTGACTTCAGGAGGGTCTCTGTCCCCGCTGCCTTCCGGAGGGGCTGCTTTTATAAAAATTAGAAACTTTATCAACCATATACTTCTCTTTTATTTCCCCTCCAGCCCTTGGATTCAAACATTATCGCCTGTCCTGGATTAGCCGTCAAGACCTCAGTGAGCCCAGATTTGGGGCGAGGGGGACATTACAGATGTTTGGATATGGCAGCTCTTTCTTGGTTCTGAAAACCTGGCTGGATCGTGGGGATCCAGCCCTGACCCCTCCGTCCCAGTGATAAAGAAAATATAGGCAATACTGGGCTTCCGTCCCACCTGTCCAGAATTGGGGGTGATGGTGGCAGAAGACAGAGGCGAGGTGACAGGCACAGAGCTGAGCACTGAAAACGGAAGCCCTGGGTGAGGGTCAGGCTGGAAGGCAAGCCAGGAGACACAGGGGAGCCACCTCCCCTAGTCCCAGTCCTCTGGGGTCTGCACGGTTTTGAACACAAGACACAGCCGCTGCAGTACCCTTTGCTGCAGAATGCGGATGGTTTGGACAATCCACAGGGAGGGCACTGGTGAGCCCGCTGTGCAGGTGCCAGGGCGGGATGCCCCAAAGCCAAGGTCCGCATCTCCTCGGAGGCTGTGCGCACTCAACCCCGAATGCTGCCGGCTCCCAGAAGGGCAGGCCCCTGAGTCCAGGAAGTGCGTGGAGGTGTATAAGCGCACATTGTGAACCTGGAGGTATGCGCAGGGGCGTCCAAGAAGCCAGATTCCAGCATTTTCCACGGGACCCACCCAGAGCACGGTCGGGAACACTTCACTGCTCTCTAGAGAACTTGGGAAAGAGGGGTCCGCACTGGAGCTCAAAAAAAGGAGCTATTTTTCAAAGTCTTTTGCGCAGGCCAGGGCAGAAACGCAGACATACACGTACACTCACACCCCAAAACACACCGTCAACCCCTTCCTCCTTCCCACCGGGCACTTCTTACATTTAGTGGGAAAGAAATGCCAAAACAGACAAACCCGGGAAACAACGACAAACAGCAACTTTCTGGTGTGCATGGCACTGAAAACTCGAAAGAAGACCCTGGTTTCCCTGGTCTGTGCGAGGTGTGCTGTGTGTCCCAGTGTGTGCGAGCCTATCGATGTCACAGTGCGCGTGCCCACTCCCCTTTCTGTTTCTGCTCCTGGCTGAAAATGTGATCCCAGAAATTATTCCACGACCCAAAGGAGCGAGCAGGAGCGGGAAGAGGGGGTGCACGGGAGGAGGGAGCGCTCCCCTCCTCAGGAGGGGACCTTGAGAGCCCCCAGTTACGCCCCAGCCCCACTGGTGGCTGGGATCAGGGACACAGGCGACCGCTCGGCATAGGCTTCCACAGTGACAGGGCGCCCCCTGTCGGCCGCCGGGCCCATGGGACCGGCCCGAGTCCTCGTTTACTCTCGCGCTCCCAACCCCGCAACTCCCTGCCCCGGACACCTTCTGCCGGCCCGTTCCCAGCTCTGAAAATGCCTCTTGGGACTCAGCATTTTATGGAACCCCCCCTAAGTTCTGCGCAAACCCAACCCAGTCTCCAGCCCGCCTCGAGGGGTTCTGAGGGCTCGTGTAGGGTCGGGATGCGTGTGACGCCGCCCGGAGGCCGGTCCCAGTGGCCAGTCCGGGACCCTCCCGGCGCGCCCGCTCCCCGGGAAGGCGGGCACGGCCTGCAGGTCACTTTAGGCTGCGGGGAACGGGGCACCCTCCGGCTGCGAAGGAAGCAGGAACGTGCAAACAGCCTGGGGTTCGCTTTCCTTGCCCCGCAAGGCATTACCGCCCCCCCTTCTCCCCCCCCCCGCCCCGCCCCCTGCACAGTCCGGGTTCTTTCTGGAGCTCCAGTTTCTAAAGGTCCTTTCAGAGTTCTGGCACGAAAGCCTCAGGCTTGAATGCTGTTCAATTGCTCCGGGAGTTTCTCTCCAGGAAAAAGTTCGCGGGGAACTCGGTCTGCAAACAGATGTTTCCCCCATCCCCCGTTAGTTTAAACCTCACCTCGGGCTGAGACCTGCGAAGCCGTCCTTTGCCGGCCTCCCCCACTTCCTTTCCGATTTATTAGATCCTGCCCGGCTTCTATAGTCAATAAAGCTGCTTTGTAACCTGGGACTGCGCTTGAGGTTAGCGCGCTGTTGTCATTCTGGAGGCTGCCCCGGCGGCAAAGGGCGTTTACCCTTTGGGTTCAAATCCCGGCCTCCTCTGCTCTCCCTAGGAAGAAGACGCCCAGGTCGCCCAGGTATCCCAGGCCTTCCCCTTGCTGGGATGCTCCCTGGTCCCCTAACAAAGCCGCCGCTGGAGCTCTCTTTGTCAGTGAAACCAGCCGGTGCTGAAGGGGTGCTGATGCACAAACAGATCTCAACTCCCCTAAGCGATAACTCAAGGAATAAAATAATAAAGTCCCATTCTGCTGATCAATATTCCAATTCCTACAGCCCTTCAGAGAATAAATATCCAGCAAAGGCCTTGCCCAAAGTTTCCCCGCTGTGTTTAGGGCATTATGAGGCAGATACGCAGGCGAGATTCAGGCAGAGGAGATGGAAAGGTAACAATATAATCTTGTGAAAATGTACAGTCTTACTCTCAAAGAAGCTTTTTAGTTGATAAAAGTCAGACTCACCCACATACCTCATTCACGGGGTGGAATCCTCTGGGTGCATCTCACATCTCAACGAAGAAAAGGCATATCATATGTGGAAGGTTATAATCAACACTTCACACTCAGTAGGTGGGTTGTTATTTCTGAAATTTATTTCAAAAGAGTCAGACCATCAAAATGTGTCTGCCTGGCACGGAGCACACCTTCAAATACTCTCATGCTGGCTTTCATAGTTCTTGGATGGTCAAAACACCAGTTGTTTATGGAGGGGGCAATTGGAAAGCTAATTAGCTAAGAACACCTTATCAAAGGATATTTATGTAAAACAATGAAGAAAGGTTCAGCATGTTGCAGTCTTCTGCAAAAGCATAGGAAAGCGCTGGGAAAAGTGGGATGGGGAAGAAACTCAACATTTTAAGTTTAATACACTGTGTACCTACATACAATATACCTCTCCTGTGCAAGATCCATGGGAAAAGATGGGACACAAATAAAAAATAATGATAATAAATAAATAAATAAGATGTTAATAACCTTGATTGTGTTTGAGTATTAGAATTATACCTTCAAACTACATTTTTCTACAGTATGGTTGTATCATTTTATATCATTATTATTTTATTATTACATTCTCTTATTGCATGGTGAAATATGTAATAAGAATACTTACGTGTGACGTTAAGGAAACTTTGGCAAAATAACTTGTACAAATATTCACCCAGTTCTCATCCTTGAAAGGAGATCAGAGAAGTTACCATCCAAATTGATGCAGGGTTTGAGTTCTGAAAACAAACAAATACTATTTGGTCTTATGGTATCAGAGACTGGACTGTGCTTTTCTTTGAGTTCAGGGAGGAAGAGAAGAAATACTCATGCCAACCACAGGTAGCGACTTCCCAGAGTGTTCTTTGCACATTGCTTAGCAGAAGGAGAAAGACTCTGTCTTCTAGAGGGTGTTAAGAGGAATTTGGCCCACAGATCACTTTCTTTATGCAGGTAGAATTTGATTGTTGCTTGGAAGGTTGTGTTTTAGTTATAGATTATTCATCTCTTATGGTCATTCTCGGTGGTTGGGTTGAGCATTTGCTGACTCCACTCCCGTCTGTGTAGGTCTTTGAAGAAAGCCAGTGCTCTGCCCACTCAGGTCCGGGGTTTGACAAATTATTTCTGGTATATACTTGACATCCTGTTCACCATTCTTGCGTTTTTAGCACATTTCTGGTATGTGGGACTATTATAGCAGGTCATTAAAATAATTGGAAGAGATAAAAATAAAGAAATGACAACTTTTAGTTGCAATAATAACATGCCAACGTGAGTGAGAATAAACTCCTCTTTGAGGGATGCTTAAATTAGATGCATCTACATTTGTGGCCCTGGGAGCTATTTCATATATTTGGTTGTTGCTTTTGGGAGAAATCTCGGTTATTCCTGCCAAAAAAGCAAGCAGTAAACTCCATTAAAGACAGGAGTCATGGAGAACCAGTCACAAACTACCTGAAGAATCAGCCCCTAGGCATTCTTTCTCAGGAATTCTTCACGTTACCCAGGGAGATAATGCAGAAGCTGTACGGTTAGCTCCCTGAGCTACTGATTGCTTACTTGGATAAACACATACTCTTTCAATGAGCGTGAAAGGATGAAGCGTATAAGAGACATAAAATCAGAAAAAGGTTGGCAAACCTTGGATTTTGATGCTGATGCTTAGGAAGCAGTTATTTGCTTCTTGTTCCCATCTCAAAGTGCTGCAGGGGCTCCATGTGAGCACAAGATAACCATATAAAACTTGCTCTAATATTAGACAGTGACAAAGGGGAGCTATATATTTTGGGCCCATATTTAATGAGCACTTACATGGTGAGGGGACAGGCAAAGCCACATGCTTACAGAGATTAAGTCTGTTTTCCTCTTTTACTTCCTCCTTTTCTCCCTTCTTCTGTTACAGGTCTCAGCCCCTCTCTGTTTTCAAGGCTCCTTCCCACTGTGACTCCAGAATTTCCAAGTGCTAAAATCCCATCCCAAATGGAA